TTAAATTATGCAAACCATGAAGAAAGTTGTCAGGAAAGCGTTTGTACCCGTACGTAGACGTTTGAGGGTCGAGGTCACATGCCTACAACGCTGCGTTAAAAATACAAGAGCGAATGGATCGCTCCAGTAGTCTTTTTCGGGTTATTACAAAAAAGGTTTTTCTTTCGTCTAGGTCTAAACCATTGAGCCAGATTTGAATTTGGAATTGAAGTCGAAAATGAGACTCCAATTTTTTTTTTATTGTTCGGTCTATCGCTACCGAACCTTTGCGAACACAGCATTTTGTTGTATTGTCATTTTACTTTACCTAAACGCTTCAGTGCATTTCTAGCCACTGTACGGTCCGGGTGCATTCGTAACATTTAACAGTACATTTAAACATACTTGTACAACATTAGTTATTAACAATTTAAATGATGATACATTTAATTTAATTGATGATACATTCCAATAAACAATTATTATAAACAACCGATACTCTTTTGCTCTTGGATCCCGCGCAAACTTGCACTCCGCAGATGACTCTATGGTTTAAAACTATGGGTTACCTTACGGGTTGCGGATACGGTATTCTGTGAGGCCGTGGTATCACTCCGGTCGAGCTGACCCATTCGTGCCGAAGCTTGGCTCTACTTGGCCCACACTTATGCCTATAACCTGTATGACATGTGACCAGACTAAGACAAAATGTTGCCGCTTTGGCGAGTCTATTACATTCAACAGCTAATCCAAACTAATGCGGTGGATTATGAGCAGTTTACACACGACTTACTAATTACTAAGTAAAGAACATCCAATTATGGACAACGGACTTTATTAGTGTTTAGATAATGAATACTTAATTAGTATACATAAAAAGTGGTATTCAGGTAATACTTGTCTAAGTGTTAGGCTTCTTTAGCGTTGTGAAGATCCATGGATGGGGCTGATCACTTAAGGTCTTATGCCTCGCCTGTTTTCTAATCCCAAAAAGGGAATTTCTATGATTACTTCAGATTTCTTAAGCATTACTGGTATTTTATGACATGGATGTAGTTTATAAGGATGTGTGATAAAAAACTTTAATCCTATTAGGTATAATCATCATCATCATCTCCTACCAAGTCTTTCAGAGAATCATAGACAAGCTTGATGCTACACAAACAATACTTCCAAAAACCGCACAATACTATAATATCTAAAAATAACCTTCTTTAATGACACTCAAATAACTTTGGAAATTTCTTTCGGCAGTATTTCCGAAACGATGCGACCTTCAAATCTTCAAAACACGTGTGACTCCTTTTTAGAAGGCCGGCAAAGTGCACGTGACTCCTCTGGTGTTGCAGGCATTGATAGGTGGCGCTGATCACTTACCATCAGGGCCTAAAGTCTGCTATTACAATAGTGTCAGAATAGTAGATCATTGGTTTCAAAATTGTTGATTTTGACAAGTTTGGTAATCTATCACGATAGCTTCATTATGACTTTCCAATGCCACTTATTGAAATAATTCTTAAGAACGATAATCTAATAATGTCATAATGACAAATTAATATTTGAGATAATGCGGTAAATTAATAAAGAAATGCCAGTTCCTTTATTCAATGATTAACGTTTAGAATATTAATGTGCAGTTATTGTTTATAATTCGTTACAAGACATCTCGTACTATAATTCTATTATGACATCGCCGAACGCCAATGATCAGCCATCTTGAATTAACAGATTACGAACTTTTAGAAAAATGACAATGGAATCGTGTAGGAATGACAACACTTTGAAAATAGTAGACTCGGGCCCCAGGTGATCTGTCTACTCGTTTGCCTCCTATTCCATAAAAAACCCTCCTGTAGATATTTTGTAACACTACAGAGATGTGGTTTTCCAAATGAATAACTCGTTCGCTACAGCGCTAGGCAACTCTCATTCTTTTCACACTTTACTAAACACAACTTTAGTTCACACCATAACTTGTTTGATCTACCAAATAAAAACAAATGACTAACAGTGTACTTACAATTAAAGCTACACATAGGTATAAAATAGATTAAACATTTAGATTGCACTTCTTCCCTTCAGGGTTTGAAGGTCATCGTTGTGATATGTATCCATACTAATATTATAAAGAGGTAAAAGGACATGGCCAACTTTTGTATGGGCGTTTGCATAGTTATTGAATTCAATGTACATCAATGATTTTTGGTGTTTACTTTCGTGAATATTATTAAATTAAATTGCAATAAATAAAACACATGAAGAACTCGTAATTATAACAAACAAGACGAAAATAGTTTCACTAAACCTTTAGTCAGATTACTGGCCATAAGTGCACGAAATAAGATTTTGCTTTTAAAAACCATGGCGTTTTAATTATTTATTTATAAAATAAAACAAAATAATATGTATAAATAATAATGATTTATTTATTAAGGAGAACAAATAAAATAAAACTACGTAATAATTCACTTTTATATTTTTATTATAAAGTGTATTTTATTATGTTTGTGTATGGAATGTACGTTTCTGTAATATATATTCTGTATAATTGGGTAATAATATGGTAGTACTTTCCATTTGAAGCGGCCTGCTTTAAACAGGTGGTAAAGGTGGTGGCTCTGGTGGGCTAACCACTTGAATATAAGGAGCTGCTGCGTTGTTGTCCGAACCCAATTCCTGCAAGTTTCGTGATAAGTCCTGCACTGTCTGTCTATTTGCCCGCATACAGCACACATGACAAAAATAGTTACTTCTTGAGGTCTGAAAATAAACCCCAGTTAGAATAAACACATGTTTTCAAGTTTTATGTTATTGTACAGTGAGAAGTATTATGTTACAACATGCCTACTTTAAAGAAGTCGATGCAAACATGGAAAATACATAAAGATAGATATTATAATCACACATACCTACTATGAGTACTTTTTTTATAGATTAATATAGATAAATACAAGTACATATATAAAACAATGAAGAAAAAACAAAATGCTTACCACATTAATAGTATTTTGTGATATTAGGCCAGCTAGCAATGGAGAGTCCATACTGACATTATGGTGTCTTATTTTTCGAACCGATTTTCCACAACCAAGGCAAGCCATGTTATGCCCCAGTAGTCTCTCATGTTCACCAGCCTCAGTATTCAATAATAAGAAGCGTGGTTGACAAATGAATGTCCCCAGAGGCAACTAAAAAAAGGATGCACTATTTAAAATCGCATACCATGATAAAACATAAAAGAACAGACTAAGTATTATACTATTCCGACTTCATACCTGGGTTTGAGCTGGTTAACCAACGTGAAAGTTTTGTTTGATGGGGTGCAGAAAGCGAGGATATAAGACGCCTCTGCAGCCTTTGTACGCCTATTCCACAGTTAATGCACCTCATCGTAATCCACAAAACAAATCCAAAACGCAAAACAGTTACTCCAGTATTATTAGCAAGGTTAACAAAAACACGCTGTAAAAAGTGTCAAACACGTTCCGTTTCGTTTAAGTTTTTTTTTTGGTGAAATGGATAAAAATAAAACATAACATTATTATAATATGAGTATATTTTAAAATGCAACTAAAACCAATGAATACAGTTTCGTATGAATAAAATGTTCCTAGTGTAATGCATTTGTCGATCATATCACACGTTTTCTACGAGTGTAGTTTAAGACACGTGGTTTGGAATTGGAACGTCTTTTTATTTATCTTTCTCTATGGACTATTATGGCGAAACTTGACAAACGATAAGTTGATTTTGTTGCATTACTTTTACATTTTTTTAATAATAATTGTCAGGTCTGGAGAGGCTAAAAACTACGTAATAATTCATATTTCTATTTGTATTTTACAGTGTATTAATTTTGTTCGTGTACGTGGAATGTACTTTTTTGGCCATGTCCTTTGTAAGTTTGTATGTAGGGGGTAATCTTTGGAACCGCTGGTCGGATTGCCAAAATTTTTTCACTGAAATTCTTTCACTAGATAACTACAATGTTCCTAAATGCTATAGGCTATAAAACATCACGCTACGATCAAATAAAGCTGAGCAGCGGGTGAAACCTCGCGAGAGTAGCTAGTTTTTAATAAAATTTTATTTTTATATTTTGTAAATGCAATTTAAAAGTTTATAATGCCATTTTTGTAAAGACTGATTTAAATGAGTTTTGTAATGAGAAATTAATATCAATAAGTAAATCTATTTGAATAATATTTTAGGTTACTAACAAGACTTTGAGCACAACAACACACTCGCCTCTAAGGCTCATCATCTTCCTCAGCCCGATTTCGTTCACTGCTGGACATAGGCTTCCCTTATTACACGCCAATGAGCTCGATGTTCAGCTCTTCTCATCCCCCTAAGGCTCACAGACCTACGAAAATGCTAGCTAATCGATCGTAAGGAAATACCCCAAAAACTTACTTACATAGAAGCTACGTGTTAAAGACATTTCATTAATTAAACTAGTACATTGGTACTAGGTGCTCGTGTAATTAATACGGAAAAGGTGCGTGGGTTAGTATTGACCCATATTTTATAATAGCCGCTTGGAGGGTTAGGGTACACCTTCTACTTTAGTATTATGTTTTAATTTCTGTTTGCATGTCGTGTTTGGCGATGTGTTACCTATAAATATATAAATTAAATTATACCGTCTTTCAGCCCACATACAGAAAGCCTTAAGAGGTCTACACACTTTTATGAATAAATTAATTGAATACTATGAAGGTTTATTTAAAAGAATAACCCTTAAAAATCCTAACCCGAGGGGGAGATTGCAAACAGTTTATTACTTTTGTGTTGCCACGTGCGCGACGTAAATAAACTAGAAAAAATATATTATCTAAACACTATTTTGTGAGATACTTACTGTGATAATTTATAGAATCAGGCGTAACTTTGCGGAAATCCATGCCATTAAATGTTAGGGAAAATATTTAGTTTTAATTCCGCGACTGAAATGCGCGAATGAAATGCCACAATATATGCAAACACTTTTGTAATTCAAAATTGATAATAATATCATAATGGATTTAGAAGTCTTCAAAAAAGTGGAAGCGTAAGTTATTTCTCTCAAATTAGGTAGAAAATACCAATACAGTACATATTGTTATTTTTGGAGACCCCAATAGATTTATTTATACATATATATATATGTAAACAATTAATTTCTGACTGAGTCATTGTAAACAAAACGAGTACTTTGACACGGAAGACGTTAAACTGAACATAGAATAACAAAAACGTTCTTTATTCAAAATATTGTAACGGTTTATTCAAATTCAATTGATAATATGAAAAAGTAAATAACAGCTGTTACAAAAGTAGAAGGTCACACACGTCAACATATCGAAATGAAAAATAAAACTATGTCAAAATTTGCTCCTTTACAACTTATTTCTTTATTAGCTTTGTTTGGTCACTTCTTCACCTAGTGGATAGCGATGGCGATGATGCGACCCACGAAGAAGCACGCTTACCAAGTCATATGAACTCTTTAAAGGACTATGTCCTGGACTTCGAAGGCACCCTTCGAGGAATACAGACTCTGGTACAAAGAATCCTATTTCTCAACGGGGCTTAGCGATTCTGGTGAAAAAACTGGCATCGTTTTGTGCATAGGCATATACGTGGGATATTCTCTATGATGCGCCGACGTTAATATGGTTGTCTGTTGGTACGATGGGGTCAGGGGGAATATCTAGTTCTCCCGCATATTCTCTGAAATGTATCCAATAAAAACCATATGTGACACTACTTAGGTACTGGTAACAAAATTGCGTACTTAGAAGTTAAAACGCATAATATTGTGTTTAGACAAATTACTTTTACTAGGTACATTATAACTGTATTAAAATACATTTTTAAAATGAAATATATTACAATAGACACTGCTGCTCGTAGTTCAGAAAATAGTACTTATTCAGTATGTTTAAAAAAATATGTGCAGTGTTCAAGAGTCCAGACTAACACAATTTTATTAAAATTCCATTAAGGGCTGACTTTTCAATAGTCAGATAAATGTTAGGTATTTGAGGAATAAAATTATTTCTATTACTGTTTCATACAGTAAGTGTGGGAGAGCCATGCTTCGGCACGAATGGGTCGGCTCGACCGGAGTGATACCACGGCCTCACAGAAAACCGGCGTGAAATAACCACTGCGTTGTGTTTCGCCGTGTGAGTAAGGTTACCGGAGGCCCAATCCTTCCCCTTCCCCAATCCCTCCTCAATCCCTAAATCTCCAAATCCCTAATCCCTAAAAGGTCGGCAACGCACTCGTAACTCCTCCGTTGCGAGTGTCCATGGGCGGCGCTAATTGCTTACCATCAGGTAATCCGTCTGCTCGTTTGCCGAGCTATTACATAAAAAAAAAAAATACAAACCTTCTGAAGCGACATCATCGTAATTATTCCCGAGGTAACTTTTATCTAAACATTGAAAATTCAGCCATCTCTCTCTCATACCTACTTTCCAATTTTTAAGACAACTGATCTTTTCAAACACTGATACACTAGTAAAATTTTACAATCGAAAATAACAAGGAACAGCGCGAGCGTAACGAAATATAATTTTACAAAAATTGAACTGTTTTTTGGTAGGTCCATAATAATATATCATTTTTAATAGCACTTGGCACGTATCGAACACTCTATAATACGTATTAAAAATAAAAACCGCTTATTTAATAGCAGCTAGCTGGTGACGCAAGGCGGATATTACAAGTACTTAAAACTAACGCAAAATGACTTGCTATAAACTCTACTCTTTGATTTCTTTGTAATATAAGCGATTAGCTTTTTCCCGCGACTCCATTCGCGTAGAATAGTGACTTCCCGGAGATTTTTGTTTTAAAAACTATCCTATCTATCTACTCTAACTATCCTATGTCCTTTCTTGAGTTCCAAAATATGTCTGTACCAAATTCCACACAAATGAGTTCAGTAGTTTAGGCATGAAGAAAAGACAGACAGACAGAGTTACTTTCGCATTTATAATATTAGTTTGGATGGATACCTATCTTATTCTGTGAAATAGTTTAACCTATTTCGAAATAACTCATCCTTTCCGACATTTAGAAACGAAGAAGCAAAGTAGGTTAGCGTCATCCAAAGTTGGAAAGGATTTATGATTGAGAACTTTCTAATTTATTACTTGTTTTCAACAAGTGATTGAATGGAAGAAAATAATTTTAGACGTTTCAAATTAACGGTTGTTCTTTTTTCAACTTAAATAAATTTATGATCACTATTGTATTGCTTTATGCATCACTGCAGACGGGGCCCAATAGGGCTGATGTTTAGCCGAGGTTGCGGGGTAAGCGCAATGAGGAACCGCGACATCGGCCTTTTTTTTTTTTTTACGGGGGGAAATCCTCATGGACTTCCTCCGCCTGGGGAGAGGCGGAGGGTCGTGCCGGACTCTTACCGGCTAAAACCACCCCGGTGTCTCCTCGCACGTGCGCACGGGGCCGCGGGAATCCACATTCTTCCGCAGCCCCACACTAGTGCTGCCCCGGTCTGTCCGGGCCTCGTCTCTAGCACGGGGTAGTGAGGTGTTCGACTACCCCGTGCATCCTCTTAGAGGCGCGCGTAGACACCGCGCGCGTCTTCGCCTCGGGTCCATCGGATAGGGGGCGGGGACTTCCCCAAGTCCGTCGCCCCTGGACCCATTCATGGGGGGCGGAAGAGGGCGTTATCCGCCCTTCTTCTGCGCCCGGTGCGTCTTCTGCGGCCTGGGAAGGGAGTGGAGATCTCCCTCTCCCGTTCCGCAGCTTCCTTCTGCGACATCACGTCCTCGCAGAAGGACACCAGCGCGTCCCACGACTCTGCGCTACCGACCATACTACGAACCACGGCCGGCAGCGACAGATCGCCTCCCACTTCTGATGTGAGGGCACGGCGCTGCTCCTCCCAAGCCACACACTCGGCGAGCGTGTGTTGCGCCGTGTCCTCCCCACAATGGACGCAGTGGTGGCACCGAGCGTCCGGCTCCCTGTCTATGCGACACAGGTACTTGCCGAAGCAACCGTGCCCCGACAATACCTGTGTCACTCTGAACGACAGGGAGCCATGCCTTCTCCCGAGCCAGTCGTCGAGTACTGGCCGGATCGCCTCGACGGTAGCGAGGCCGGCGGTAGGGCGCAGAAGCCGCCGCTGCACCGGTCTCGAGCCCCGTGCCCGCTCTTCCTCGCGCCATCGATATAATGACGCGAGTACTTTCGCCTCTAGGTCCCAGGGCGGGGATCCGGCCAGGACGCAAGCCGCCTCGTAGGAGATCGTGCGATACCCGCGGACGACTCTGACGGCCATCGCCCTCTGCGGCTTCCGCAGAATGGCGAGAGTACTGGCCGTCATGTCGAGCGCCCACACAGGGGCCCCATACAGGGCCATGGATCGCACGATTCCCACGTACAACCGCCTACAGGCGGCGCTCGGGCCCCCCAAGTTGGGAAGCAACGTTGAAAGCGCGCCTGCTGCAACCATTAGCTTGGGCGCCAGCCGCCGGAAGTGGGGACCGAATTCCCAACGGCTGTCGAGCACCAATCCCAGGTACTTCATGGTGGACTCGACAGCTATCCGGGTCCCACTGACCACGATGTGTGATCCCGGCGCCGGCGCGCGTCGGGGGCCATGAAACACCATGGCCTCCGACTTGTTCAGGGCCACCTCCAGGCCCAGGACCGCGACCTCGGCCTGAAGCAAGAGAAGAAACGGGGGGGGTTAGTCAGTAACATTCTGACACGTCTTCTTGCGTCACCCCGGGCGGGAGAAGAGATTTGATGATTCTCCACTGACAAAAAAAGTATTGCTAAGGGCCAACCGACAACAGATGGCGCCCAGATGGTGCGGGTTAAGTGCAATAATAGTAGGTGCACATTGAATCTTAAGTTATACTAGTTAACACAATTTAATGAAGAACAAAGCTCTTAATATTAGAAAAAGGACTAGCTATAAACTAAAATTTTAGTTGTAAGGAACATACCTATATTGACTAAAGAGCTAAAAAAACTACATAGAAATATAAAATTATTTTCCATTTTTGTTATCCGTACCTAAAGACAGGAAAAGAAAGCACAAGTTTTCAAATAAAAGTGTCTGTTTCAAACGTAACATGAAAAGATATCGAAAGATAAAACTGACCGACAGATCGTCAGTGGGATTTACTGGCAGTTAGATCACGCGACAGACACAGAATACGCCAACGATTGGGCTTTTGATAGACGATATAAAATGGCGCTTCATTTTGGCGGGAACGTAAACAGATTGTTTAAGCCACAGATAATATATGGCGAGTGTTATTTGTCATCATACATTAGGGTTTCGGTAATTAATGAGTCTAGTTCAGAAACTCTATACATATAAATCGTTCTAATTATAAATCATATTAATAAGAAAATAATGTTTTTGTTATCTCACACCAACAAATACCACATTTATATATACAAATTAGAAGCTGCATATATTACTTACAAAATGTTTTTGCTATTGTAACACTTGTACAATACAAGTGTACTTAATTCTTATAAATTTCTATCTATTTAGAAACCGCACCAAAATCCGACTCTGTTGTTTTTAAGATTTCACCATAAGCACATAAGTGTATAGGGACAGAGAAAGCGACTTTGTTTTATACTATGAGTGATAAGTGTAGGTAACTAGGTACTACTAGTAATAACTTCAAAAACTGACTAGAGTCTAGACTAGACGCTCGCTTCTACGGATCATCCAAAACATACATAAAATAAAACGGTAGGTAAAACACAAACACAAAAACTATGTTTCCAAAACAAACTCGCTTTATAACTTTATCTAGATAAAACAAAACTAGCAACAAATTAGATTATTCCACTGAGAAAGTCTGTACAAATTGTTAGCAATGTTCATTTATGTAGGATTTCTTATATCTTGAATTGTGGACATTAGAATTTAGAGTTTCAGCGTTTGCTACTGCAATGCGGGCCGAAAGATCCGCAAACATAGTGGGACATTCTTAAAGAGATTATTTCGACCTTATATTCTTGTATCCAAGCTATCCTCATTTATCAGGGTTATTTTAACAACGTGGTATTAATCTACACACTAAACCCTCACGGTAGTTTAGCGAAAAGGCTTGTTTTGTGGCTTTATATTAGCTGGTTAATTGGGTAGGGGCTGACACGATTCTATCTACTAACAAATTTAAAATACAAGGTCAGGAATTAGCATAACATTGTTAACAAGTAGGGAATTATAGCCACTTAAGGAAATAAATATAATATTTAGACACTAGAGAGACATTTTTACTGATGCAAAAGAAAATAACCTCGTTAGGCACCGCTTATATGTGCGTTCAGTAAAACCGATTTATCAAAAAACAGGTGTTTCGAAAAACTCATATTTTACAAAATTACACACAATATATTGTTTAGTCCAGATCGTAGCCGCAATGGCTGTCGTAATAAGTAATATGAATTGAATATTACGCGTGCCACAGACAATAATAAAAACTCCCACTGCTTCTTATAAATAAAATTTATTTATTCTCTCTCGAGCCGCCATGATGGAAAAGCGCGGGAAGACAAACGTGATACTCAGGGAAAGGTATTGCGTATTCTGCTTCTACACAGTTATGATTTTTAATGCAATATTTCTTGAATACGGACTACTAACAACACCTACAGGCAACTACATACATTCTATTTACTTTCTTCCATATTCTTACTTCCCATTTAAGTATTTATCTCTTTTCTTCTCCGACACAGACGTTTCCGAGAATTTCCAGCATCCCACGAGACATTTGAAATACAATTTTATTCATTCGTAGGTACGATGAATTCGTTTGTAAATCAAATTTTGCTGTGAATAAGAATAAGTTGTGTTTTTTAACAAAAAATGCTGTTAACATAGTCAGATGTATTTGTAAAACTAAACACCGTTCTATCAGCCAACTAAATAAAAAAATGTGTATTATTTGCAACGCGTTTAGTTCCTACATTTTACCATGTAATGTTTATCTGCAAGACAAATCGTTTCATTTACATGACAAAGCAGGCTGTATAGTTGTATGCCTTTACCTCAGTGTAGTTTTATTTCCTGCACAATCCGACATTTTTATTCTCGTACGCTCACGCGACAAGAAAGTTCGGTCTTTGGGAAAACTATACAAAAAAAGGGTTTTATTAGTATTTATATTGTCAAATATTAATTTCTGAATTCGAAAACAAAAACGAATCCTATTACTTAATATCATAATGGTGAATTTTTCAAATTACAAAACGGATCTGAATTTAATTTGGTACAGAGATCGATTATAGTCTGGAATACATAGGCTACTTTTTGGCCTGGAGCAGG